ACAACAGTTTTTTGAACAGATTTTAAATTTCCAATATATGTAGGATGGTATTCAGTTCTAATACAATAAAATTTTAAACTTTTATATTGTCTCTATCAACTCTTTTCACAATAAGCTACTGACATTACATCACAAAGAAAACATCAAAATAGACCCATAGACAAGAAAAAAGATTACGGACAATATAAGCGCAAGCTACCTGTTATTCCTATAAGTGAACACAACCTTATTACTATTTTTAAAATATATTTTCTAGTATTAGCTGTATTCAAAGTGAGGTAAAAAAAACAGCAAGTTTCTTGCAAAAGTTTCTAATTTGTATGCGAAACAACAACTCTACTCTCTTACAGTAACAGACTTGTTACGAAATCCAGCCATCTAAGAGACTGCAGAACTAAATGTTAACAAAGAACTAAATGATCTATTATGAACTTACATTGGTAAATTGATCGAAAAATGTTTGCAAATTAATACGAGTAAAATTGAAAAGTTTCACATGTTTGAAAATGGTTAAGAATATATTTTAGCAAATGAAGGTAATAGCTTACCATTTCCATAGAATATTGTATTGAGTTCTCATTTATATGATTATTTTTTATAACATATATATAAATAAAATAATATTAATAAGAGCTGCTATATTTTTTTGGTTGACGCCTTTATTTTGTTAGCTATTAAAGTTGAAGAAGCTTTTGGTGTAAATGTTTATTTGATTATATCGTTGAAATAAAAATTACGCGTTGTTCCATCTAGATGCAACAACTTTCCGATTAAGACATTTTATAAATTATGCTTTGTTACTATGTGGATTTTTATGTCGTTACAATGTTATACTTAACCGTGTCCAAAGCTATAAATTTATATACATATATTTTAGTTTTTCATTTTTTTATTCAAATATTTATTATTATTCAAATATACATTACAATTTATTATTATGTTGAGGCCAGCTGAGTCTGTGCACTTGAGCACTTTTACTCTCTGTTAACTGCGAGGTTTCTTAATAACCCCTTTCTATGCCTTGACTGGATTATTGTTTATCACTTTGTGACGTTCATGTGGCATTATTCAAAAAGAGAAATTTACTTTGAAAAATAGAAATTAACAACCAAATTTTCATGCATATGCATTTTGATTTTGAAAATTAGGAAATTTTAGAATTTTAGAATTTTGAACAGAACATAATAATTGTTAGTAATAATTTATAAACTCTTATTAAATATTAAAATCTCATATTAGGAGTCAACATTACTACAACTTCATCAGACTAAGCAATAATTAACCTCAGATCTGCATACCTCCCCGAGAAACCTGTAACCACTCTGAGATTCAATAAAGCGGTGTTGGTAATCCTGTCAGTTTTCATAATTAATTTCTATCCTTTATGTATTTTTTGATCGGATCAATCCTGAGGTCCCTGAGACATCCTAATTCGTCCTAATGTACCATGGTACCTTGAAAAGTCTTCTCAGAGCCTGACTTTGTGCAATTTCTAGCTGGCGAATAGTAGTGTTTGAGGCCTTGCTAAACGTTACACATCCGTATAGAAGTAACGGTCGAATTATTTGGTTATATAACAGCTTCCTGTTCTTAATATTGAGATTTTAATTTTTGAATAGTGGTTGGAGGTGAACATGTTTAAGCCATATGAACCGTAATGCCTAGATATTTAGTGCTTTCCTCCCAGTTTAATACCATATCTCCCACTCTCACGCTCGACGGGTACTGTCACCACTTACGCGTAATAGACAATAATATAATTTTTAATGATAATTTTTTCTTGCCGATAGTGGCGTGTCTATATGAAGAAAGAAACTATTAAAAGTTAGACGGATTCGAATAGCAAAGAAAGAAAGGACAAAGACAAACATTTATTTAATTTATTGAAATTTGGCTGACCATACAACGCTGTTTCGAGTATTGCCAAGTACTCTTCATCAGTGGTCTTAGGAAATAATCGAATTTTATTTAATTAGTTTATAGTCCGTATATAATTTGTTTGGACTGCAAGTGCCAGGCTTAGAACTCGTGCCTGTCAAATAAGAAGCGATGACTAATCGTGTTTATCCACAAGTAGCCAAGGCTGCTTGTGGATAAACTTTTAATGCTCAAATTTGTGGAGCAAACTTTTAATGCTCAAATTCCAGGTTTTCACTTATTTTTATTTAATTAGTGACATCAACTAAAGCACTTGCCGTGCTTTAAATTAGAACGAGCTATAAACTACAGATTTATATGGAAACACAAGTTTCACGAATTGAAAGTTAATTTTTGAAGTTGCCTACTTTTTTTTTGGGTTCAAAGCTATTCTTTTTTGTAGAGACATAGAGACATATTTTTTACTTGCTATATGTAAAGCGCCTTTTTGGGTAGAATTTTACAAAGAAGCTATGCAAATGTTTCTCTACAAGTTCGCTAATCCCGTTAAGGAAAAGTTAAACAATATTATTGTCAATATTTCCTATAGTTCTAATTTTTAATGTTAATTTTTTCTTAACTCAATAAGATCTGAAAAAAAATATACGTTATTTAATTTGTACACATAATAATAAGAATTTACTGGAATTTTGAGACTCGCTGATGCTGTGAGTGTCCTTGCGTGCAATACTCATGATTTATCCACTTCAGACGCCTCAGGCATATGATGTAATACTGCTGTACTATTATAAAATATTTCTTGATCACATCTAATATAATACCACCGTGTGCTATGAAATATTTTTATAAGGCTACCGTATACATTTTATAAAATATTCTTTTATGTGTTTTGTATAGAAAATACCGTCGTTGTACTGTGTGATATATTATATATACTAAGAGACTATTCAAACGAACTGTTTCATAATATGTGTGTACTTTTAACATGCAATTCCAACAATAAAAATTTTTTTAATTTTATTTTTTTAATACAAATCACGTTGTTGTTTACATTTTAGTTAAATTTGTAGTTATATTTGTAATTAGGTTTCAACACGTTTTTTTTATTGTTTTAAATGTTTCTAAATTTCGTCACGTTTAGAAGCATTAATACGATATTTACATTTTGCATTCGATTTTAGTCTATTTAAACGAAAGCGTTCTTTTCTTTCAGCATCACTTAAACTGAAACGTAAAGTATCTAGTATTTCTTTTTTTTTTTTGCTCTTTTAATAACAAAAATCACACTTCACTGCAGTGATAGCATGGTGACGCCATAAATGTAAAAATAATATTGCACTATAGTATAAGCATGATGACGACATAAATAAATCATAACATTAGTTTACAGCCAAAAATGTTCAAAGACGAGACCTATATTTCAATAGAGAAATTTTCCGTAGAACTTTAAAATCACGAATTTTTTTTCTGTGTTAAACACTAATTTAATATAAACATTTTAAGCGGCTTAACATTAAATTCAAATAAAAATTTCAGAAGTTACCTGTAATTTTCCAATTTTGCCCAAAATAGTGGTTTTTATTAATCAAAACCTAAATCAAAACTGCATTATGTAAACCATTATGTAAAATTACAATAATGGTTACAAATTTTATTTAAAAATTAAATATTAATATTAAGCGTATTCGGTGGCTCGCAAGTACGGCAAAAAACAGCAAGTTGTTGGCCTATGCAGGCCTAAACTGGCCGCAATGTATGCAAAACAACAACACTATTTTCTCTACCTCGGCCAGCATAGTTATGCTGGCCAACCACATCGGCCAGTAAAAAAAAAATGTTACCAACGCAATAAGCGAACTATTGTGAACCTTCATTGAAAATTCCAACGAATAGTGCAATCAAATGTCAAAAATTGAGGAAATAAAAATTCAAACAGAATTTAAAAATTTGAAAAATCTTGAAAAGTAACGAAGAAATAATAAGAGCGTATTCGGTGGCTCGCAAGTACGGCAAAAAACAGCAAGTTGTTGGCCTATGCAGGCCTATACTGGCCGCAATGTATGCAAAACAACAACACTATTTTCTCTACCTCGGCCATCATAGTTATGCTGGCCAACCACATCGGCCAGTAAAAAAAAAATGTTACCAACGCAATAAGCGAACTATTGTGAACCTTCATTGAAAATTCCAACGAATAGTGCAATCAAATGTCAAAAATTGAGGAAATAAAAATTCAAACAGAATTTAAAAATTTGAAAAATCTTGAAAAGTAACGAAGAAATAATAAGAATGGAGAAATCGTAAGTATTAAGCACATTGAATTTTTTATTATGTTAGTTATTACCAAGTAACATTTATTTTATTTCATTTAATTTGTAGTTTACATACGTAAAATTAATAAACAAACATAATTTTTGAAGTTTTTCTAAAAAATTTTTTTTATACATTGACACAAGAAGTGTACATTCATAACATTTAAAAAATTCGTGAAATAACTTGCATCCCTCGGCCGCTGCAAAACGTTGCTTTCTTCTCCCAACATCGTCAGTACCTACAAAAATTTACTTATCTTAGTGTTTTATTTTTAAATTTCCAATATTCTTACCATTCCTTTTAATTCCGTGTTCATTTTAATTTTATAATATTTTTATATACATAAATATATTTGATTTATATGCACATACACAAAATTTGCTGTTTGTCAAAACAGTGTGATGCCAATGACTCGCGTGGCGAACATAGGCCAACATGCATTTTTTGCCGTACTTGCGAGCCACCGAAAAGGCCTATTATTAAATATTTATATACTGCAGTGTGTTGCATAACTGACGAATACTTTTTTTGCTTTATATATTGGTGCTCTACAATAGAATTGCTTTGTTTTTGTTTTATTTTTACAGTTTTGGAATAAAAACAATAAAAAAAATAAACAGAATACAATCGTTGAAAATCGCATTATTTTTCGTTTAATTTTTTTGTTTCGTGTTGTTGTTATTGCAACATTTCACGAAAACTTAGTTAATGACGAATACTTTTTTTGACCACTGTATACTCGTACATAAAGGTTAATTTAATTTGTAACCGTTTATTTAATATAAAATAGAAATAAAATTATACCTCACCTTCATTTTTCCCTTTGAAAGCAGCAAAAATGTTTCCTCGTAAGGTTAAATATTTCAGATGAGGTTTTAACAAAGTTAAAGTGCTGAAGGGAACGTATCTGAGGTTGTTATAGGCTGCTGAAAATGCTTCTATATTTGGTGTATTTTTGTAAATGTATATTTTTGTTTCTGCATACAACCTAAGATCATTTGTAAAATTCCGGTAGGATAAGTCCAAATATCCAACTGCTGCTTAAAAAATGGAAATAATATAAATAAAATTTATATTAATAGAAATAATTTTTGATTTTTTGTAAATATTTATATTACGGCTTATATATGTATATTGTTCTAGTTTACAAAAAAGTTTTTTGTACATTTCGAAAATTATAACGATTTTTTGTTTTCATTATTAATTCATCATTAATTCATTATTTGGGAAAAAATCTGTATATTAAGCTTTCGTCCAAAATTGCTTTAAATATGCCACCGAAAATATTTTTAAATATTTTTCTATGGCAAAACAAGAAGAAATATTGCAAATAGTTCTGTGTGCTTTAAGCTGTACTTGAGACATTTTCTAATATTAACAATAAGTTATAACAAAAGTGTTATGTGGAGAATATATAGACGAAGGTTTTGATTTGCGACATCAGAGAAAGGCACATTTTCATTGATTGTTTGCAGTTGATGAGAAAAGTTTGGTGAGCAAACTGAAGAGGATGGTGTTCTGGGAATACATATGAAGCTATAAGCTAAGTAGCTGTATAATCGCCCCTAAATTATATTACGTCAAATGAAAACAAGTCATGGCACTACATCCGGTACTGATATGCACTTGACTTACAGGATGTACTTAATACTGAAACAATTGATAGTACCGAATTTTGATGGCTTTTTGATGAATTTTGAGTCCAATCAAGAGCGTCCAAAAATATTTACACTAATTACAGTGGATCGGTTTAAACTTGAATACATAACTACGTTGTTTTAGCAACAGCCAAATTTCACTATCCAAATTTTAATTTAGAAAATTTTCTAAATAATTATTTTAAACACTTATACTGGATTCACACGAGAATTTTGTTTGTAATTTTTTCTGTCAATTGTTGATGCTTTCAATGCAAAATAAAAGTTTTTGACAGCTAAAATTACAAACAAAACTCTCCTGTGTATACAGCATTAGACGTTATAATTTTTTATCTATGATAATTGTTAGTTTTTCTATTTTAATATCTTCTTCTGTTATAAGAAATAATTATATTCAGATCAGGAGTAAGTGAACGATTACACACAATATGTAATGTATTACATACACTTAGCAGAAAAACTCTGCGTACAGGAAGTAAATTTTGTTTCAACAATAAAAAAATTATTAAATAAATAGATTTTTTAAATCAATTTTATTTTTTATTTGTACTTTAATTCGTTATCTTCATTTAAAGCTAAAACTTATTTCTAACAGATAAGTAGAAAAATTATAATAATTAAAAATGTAAAAAATCAACGCTATCGGCGGCCGAAAAAGTCTGCGTACAAAACATATAAAGGGGAGTTCCCGAAGTTTTAACAGTAGAACTTTGGCGTGCTTTATGTTTTATTGAACCAGTATATCATTATACACAATCCCAGGCACTTATTTTATAATTTAACGATTAAAAAGTAATTAAATTTATAATGGCAAACAAAGGAAAAGAAATTATTATCAGTGGGAGCAGTATTATTATTTATCTATGGAAAATAAGGAAAATGTATCGCGAAATTGGTCAAATCGTTAAACGGTCACATTCTTTTATCCAAAGAGTAGTGAACAACTATAGCTAAACAGGATTATTAACCTCGAAGCTTCGATTTGGGGGTCCAACAAGAGAAACCCGCAGTATTATTAATTCAGTGAAAGATAATCCTCGTCTAACTGGACTTCTGTTATATAAATATATTGTCCAGACATTCAAGAACAAATTCACGTGGATACTGTACACAAAATATTAAAAAAATACCACTACCATGGCCGGTTTGCACGAAGCAAGCCGCTTATCTCCAAAGCTATTAGAATGAAGAGTTTAGCATTCGCAAGGGAGTATTTAAATAAGTCTCCAGAATATTGGAAACGCATAATTTTTTCAGACGAAAGCTAATTTTGTCTCTTTATCATTAAAGGTCGAACGATTATATGGCGAAACCCGGGTACTGCCTTTAATAATGAAGATTTGTATCCAACAATAAAACACGGTATTGGAGGAGTAATAGTGCGGATGTGTATGGCGAGTAATGAAGTGGGAAAAATGAAATTTATTGAGTCGATGATGAATAAAGTTGATTATTTAAATGTTTTAAAATGCAATTTAAAGAGCAGTGCCGAGAAGTTGGAGTTACAGAATAATTACTTACTTCAACAAGATAACGACCCAAAGCACACTGCAGAAATTGTAAAGCTTGGGTTGCTTTAAAATGTGCCCAAGCAAATCAAAACGTCACCATAATCGCCATATTTAAATCCTATAGAAAAATTTGGAGGATTTACTGGAGCGTTGGGTACGTGAATACAATATAACCTCCAAAGAAATGCTGAAGAACGTGAAAGACGCGGAATGGCGCGACTGCGAAGCTGGTCAATTCGACACCAAAACGACTTTTGGAGGTCATAAAAAGGAAACGTTATCCAACAAGTTACTAAAAACGTAAAATCTTTCAAAAAATAATATATTTCGACGCTTTTTAAACTCTTGTCCGCAGACTTTTTCTGCCGCCGATAGCGCTGAATTTTTACGTTTTTAATTATTATAATTTTTCTACTAATCTGTTAGAAATAAGTTTCAGCTTAAAATGAAGATAACGAATTAAAGTACAAATAAAAAATAAAATTGAAAAATCTATTCATTTAATAATTTCTGTATTGTTGAAACAAAATTTATGTACTTCCTATACGCAAAGTTTTTCTGCTAAGTGTATGTATATTTGTTTCTCTAATTTATTTACTTCATACAATATATGTGTTATGACTACACATAAAATAATGTAAAATATGAATATACATAGGCAGTGGCGACGCGTGCCCTATCTGGAAGGGTGTGCGGCCCTTCTATAATGTTGTTTTTACATGTACCACTTAAATTAAAATATATGAGATGTTTTATTAATAATAACTATATTATATTAGGCAACAATATATTTGCAATATTATATTAACAATTCATTAACAAAATAACATATTAAATAAATTAAATTAATAATTTATATATAAATTTAATATTATATCAATATGGAAGAAACAAAAGTTTTCATATAGTTCTCGTAACATCAAACCAACTTTTTTCAAACAAAAGAGTTTGTACTTGGAAACATACATGTTTATGCAGTGATCAAACCAAATCGAACCCACTTGCAACGTATAAATGTGCGGACAAGTACTCCGCACAGTAAGCGACAGAAATTCGTTGGTGCTACTGTTAAAAGGAGAGAGACGAAATGTGATAGAAATGTATGGTGAGATGAGCTGCAAACTTTAGCCACTCATGCAACCACTTTGGCAAATCATCATGTTGGATTCGTATGCATGCAGTTGATATTCAAGTAGAACAGAAAATTACTCTCATACAATTCCCACTATATAAATCTCTATTTCTGATATTACGAACGGGAGCACACGCAAATTATTTTGTTCATGTGCAACGTCTGAATGTGCGGCCAACTTCTTTGCACACAAAAGGGAGAGACGAAATATAATAGAAATGTTCTGTGATTTGAGCTGCAAATATATGAGCACAACTAACAAGTATAGCAGCTAACAGAAGCAAATTGATTGAGTTTTCATAGACAATTTAATTGTTTTTGCTAAAACTTTAAAAATATATATATGGAAATGTAATAAATAATATTTTTTGATGTGAAGATACGTAATAAATTTATATACCTATGTTATATGAGATTTTGCAAATTATGTTAGGGTGTTCACCGCACACCTCCGCACCTTAGAGCAGTCGTCACTGTACATAGAGGCGGTATCAGAGCTATGATACTCGTATCTATGAAGCGGTCAATAAAATTATAGTGGATTGCGGATGGTTTGAAAAATGGATAGTGCTCATGGAGGTTATTCCTTTAAAATTTAATAAATTTGATACTTTGGAATTCGCTAATAATATGGAAAATTTTCATTTCCTGGCTGATCTTGCTTTTTTAACTGATATGACACAACACTTGAATGGTTTGAATTTAAAGTATCAATGTAAACCCCACAACATAGTCAACTGGTATGGATATATAATTTGAAATTAGTGAAAATACACTAAGCAGAATAGCTGCTTTTTCACCGTGTTACATGGAACATTACACTGAAAAAAAAACATGTTGAAGGATGCAATTTTTCTGCTCATTTGAACTACATTAATGAGATAATTGCGAAATTTGAGTAACGCTTCATAGATATTGAAAATTTGGATAGCAAGATATCTATTTATAAATCTGTTAACAATTGTAATTAAAAATGTGAAAACTAATTACCAATTGGTAATTAGACAGTTTTTATGTAAAATTAAGTATGTCGGAGATATAAGCAATCAAAGATGAATTTTATGGAAAAAATCATTATTTTTCAATCTTTTGAGCTCTTGGGGCACCATTTCCACTTATCCAATTGAACTAAAATTTCACACAGATTATTGTTTTTAGTAAAATGAACCAATCTGGGGGGTGCCGCGGGCAATTTTCCGACTTTCGAAAATTAATGGCACCCTAGTGGTATAGTTATAGGGCAGTTTATTTGCTTTAAAAACTACAAATATATGAAGGGCCCATTACACATTTTGTAACCGGTTTGGATCACATCTACAATTTGATTTTATATGTTCTGAACTGAACGTCAGATAATCTGTAAGAAATGTCGCAGTTAGAAATTGTTAATGTGATTGAAGATTTATTTCCCTTAATTTTCTTAATAAAGAGCGTAAATCTTTTATATCCAAATTTTAATTTACTCTTTACAGCTGGGAATTGGTATCTTATTGATTAAGGTAATTATATCCTTTCTTCGAAGAATATCATCACTTTTATATAATTTTTGTGGTATCGATATAATTGTATTTTTAATGATCCCTCATTGTCTTTAGTAGAATATATATATTTCAATGTCAACCAAGATACTTATTATTTTAAGCCAGTTGGCATAGTTATTGGAAGTTTCTTGCGACTTCTTGATACCAATAGTCACTCCGGAGTCAATTACGTCTGGTATTTTTGTGAGATATGTT